CATTATATATATATATCATAGAGAGAGAGATTAGCCCAACACACCACTACTGTGTCTTAGTGTTACTATTAGTTTTATGCATTACAGCAGTAACATGCGTAATTTTTCATTTATCACAACCAACATCATAACGTTCACTTTCCGCCAAAATTTTACAGTTCAACACAGTTAATGTTATTTATATGTACCTACCAACCACAAAGAGTAACTAAAAACATATATTTTCCGACTCGAAAACACATCCATCTGATCTGTTCACTATGACCTGTTACATAGTCTTTGAATCCACTAATTAATTAATGACAATGTGATGTCACTTACATTAGCAAGCATCATAGTTCACAATACATTATAACCTTGAAAAGCAACACGTGCAAACATTAGGAATACCGATCTTCCACCAAGTTAGCATCCCAAAGCAACAGATTAAGATTACAATTTATTTAGTATGCTTTATCACCATCCCTTTTTAATTAGAAACTTTTTAAATACTGCTTTCTGTCTTAATTTTTTACCCACTGGATCATAGCAGTTGTGATGTGAAATGTTTAATGTCCCCTTTTAGTATTTTCGGTAGGTTAGTAAAAAGTTGCCTGTGTCGGCATAAGTGCAAAGTCCTGATGAATACTGATGATCACAATATTTGAAAGATTTTCAGCCTGCTCTTAAAATCGTGAGACATCTCAATACACTCAAAGGCCTGCCACAGAGTTAAGTGCTTTGGAGGGGAGTATATTAGAGCATTACAACCTGGCAACAGGGGAATCCATCAAGGCAATAATCATTCAGCAGCAAATTGTGGCGGGGACAAAACAACTAATATAAAAACAGTAAACATAATAACATTAATGGTATGTCAGGGAAACAATGATCCTAATAGTGTGTCTACAGCAGTTTACATAAAAAATAAATAAAATAAATTAGAACAAGATAATACAGTAAACGCCCAATTTTCCAGCATTCAAGCAACCAGCACTCTCAAGCAACAGGCAAAAACAATCAAGGACATAATATGTCCTCTTTTTTTTGGCAGTTGCTTAATAGATATGTGCACACTAAGTTTCATTAGCAACTAATTTTTGATCCTTCGAAGTAGATAAGGTAGAGGTTTCAGCAGAGGAAAGGCATAGATAAGGGTGTGCAGACCCTACAGCGCTACCAGGGCATCCACTGCATGTGCTGTCGGGTTCCTCTTCCTGGAGACAAATCTATCTAATCCATCCATCTAACACATCTACTTCTGGCATCACCCAAACACAGAGATGTCTTAGAACTTATCCCCTGGGTCAACACGTCTGCTGAGAAAATCTAGTACTCTACTCCATGAATGTGTAGAACAGGTATCAATGGAACAAAAAGCTCTTCCTAGGACAGTATAGATTCTACTTCTTTCACTGCTGTAACACTTCTGGTGCCTCCCTGATGACTGATGTAAACTACAGCTCTCCCAGATAGCAAGAAATTGTGCTGCAAGTTTGAAAATGACTTGCTAAACTATTACAGACTTGCCAAGCTTCACAATTTTGTTGCACAATTACAGCAAGTCTGCATTGCAAGTCTCCAGACCAGCGAGCTTGCAGAGCTCTTGCTAAGACCTGCAGGACTCTTGCTGTAGACTTGCCAAGCAAATTTGCTACAAGTTCAAAAAGTGTCAACTAGAACTTGTGCTGCGAGTGTTCTGCAAGTCTACAACTTGCCAGGAATATGTGCAGCAAGTTAACAAAATTACAATTTCACCCCGCCACAAGTTTGTAGCAAGTTATGCTTGCTATCTGGGCTGGCACTGGCCAAACCAGGACTAGTTGGCCAGTCAGAAGGGGGTTCCAGTGAAGTGACAACAGATGAATCACTTGTAACTCCAGGATGTGGTTTGGAAGTTTAGATTCCACCAGAGATCAACAACCCCGAACAGACAAATGCTCCAGAACTCCACCCCAGCCCAGAAGACTGTCATCCAACCTTTCAATGTAAGGGAAGAAAAAAACGTACCCTTCTTTGGGGACAGAAGACACAACAACAGACATCTTGGTTTGAGGATGTAAATGGATAATCTCGTACAGAGAAAGAATAGATGTGTCCCACACCGAGTGGAAGTTTTGATGCGAGGTTGTGGAGTGGAATTGGGCAAATGGAATTGTTTCTATGGTGGATACCATCAATCCCAGCACCACATGCAGCTCCATAGGGAAGACTGAGGTTAGGACTAAAGTTGTTGAACCTTACTCTGCAGTTATATCAACTTCTCCTGGATTATCGACAATAACTGACCGAATAGATCACATCTGAAATGTTGGAGAACATGCAAAGGCATTCAGAGCCTTCAAATATAAAAAAAAGTGCAAAGGCATCCTTTGGCCTTCAAAATTGTAAAACAGATTTGAACAGAAAGCTTTAAATTTTTCAGTTGGAGAACAGGAATAATAACTCCCAGGTTCAACAATCCCTCAATGGGAAAGAAAGTCCATATAATGAGAAGATGCAAAATGATAAAGTAAGGTAGAGGATGGAAGCAAAACTCCATTTTGTAATCTGTGGATGCCACCTCCAGCACCCAAGCGTTGGATATACAAGCTTCCCAAATGTCCGTGGGGCCCATCAGACAGTTCCCCAAATTTATATGCACGTAGATAGACAATCCCCAAAGACTTCTAGGGGCTGTAATAGGCCTGCTTGGCTCGGAAAAAAAAGACTTGCCATGCAGGATGTAAATAAATAACGTAGACCAGATCAGTCGGATCTCGGTAGGTATACATCTGTGAAGGGAGAAGGTGAGATCAATTATCTCAGGGCAAAGGGGCAAATTAAGTAAGTGGGCTTCGTCTGAAAGAGCACAAATTCTTTAACTCTTTCACTGCTATATTCCTTTACTTTACTTTACTCCATATTTCTGTAATTGTTCTTATCAGCTTTGTTACAGACCTAGAATCATGGGGATTGATTAACTAAATGAAAATAGGCTGTTCACTTTGTAAGGCAATTTTCACTTTGCAGGGGATTTTTTTTCCTTAGCTTAGTGAATGTGGTGAAAATTTACTTTGCAAAGAATGCACAATCACGTGCAAGGGAAATAAAAAAACAGAATGTCGGCTCTCTTCTTTCTAAAATCCTCCATTATGGACACAGGCCGCGTGCAGCCGAGCAAGCTCGCTCAGGTAACTAAAGTTCTTGGGAGAACTGGATCCCAGGGGCAGTGTACTCAGGTCCGTGTTGAGTTTATGGATGATACTAACCGTTCCATCATAAGAAATGTAAAGGGCCCTGTTCGTGAGAGAGATGTACTGACGCTGTTGGAATCTGAGCGTTAAGATAGAAGATTACGCTAGCATGCCTTATAAACGTGCATCAATGGACCTTGCAACATCTTTGTATTTTGGCTGAAAATAAACATATTAAATGTTTTTTTTTTTTAAAACAGAATATTGGCTTGCACATGATTGGATGATGGAAGTCAGCAGAGCTTCACCTCATTCTCACTGAGCTATGGAAAAATGTCCTTGCAAAGTGAACAGCCTGTTTGCCTTTTGTAAATCAACACTAGTATTTTTGACTGCCTTACAAGCATTTTCCTTTATTACATTTCATTTTTCTTTTCTAATCATTATAACTCTATATGATCTACTGATATATCATCTGCTGAAACTAAGATACTCTAAAATGTACTCTCAGTGTTCTCCAAAAGCTAATTGAAACTTACCCAGAGGAATTGGACACCAATCTCTCTGCCAGGCTTCAGCAATTTCCCTCATATGTGCACCATAAGTTCAGTTGCAACAACAATTGTGAAAAGCAGATTCAGTCATGCTAAACTTTATCAAATTATTTCAGCAGACAAAAATCAGTGTGCATTTCCAAATGTAGACATTGCAGATATTTTTAACATTAATGGTAACAAATTGCACAGCTGAATGTTCCTTTTCTCAACTCAAGCATATTGAAAATCCCAGCAGAACAACTATGCAACAAGAAAGCCTGACACCTTGACTCTGTTAAATAATAGGAGCTGAATTGTTAGGCCTAATTAGTTTAGAGGACTTGATCGAGACTTTTCAAAACAAACAAAATCTAGAAACAAATGTTGAAAGATTAGCTCCTTCCTCCAATGCAGTTCCATGGAACACTGGTGCACAACCAAGGCTTCCACCAGCCCTTCGTCATAAACAGTAGAAAAAATGGGTTTGCACGCGGTTCTGGATCCAGTTAAAATCTTCTTTATTTATTCAAGGCATAAAACCAGACAATGCAGTCCTCCTAACTTGTTTCAGCCATGAGGCTTTAAATAAATCAAAATTTTGTTAAAATTTTAAAATCTAAATAAATATTAAGAATCAATAAAATGTCTATGCTACAATCGGTGACCTTATAAATCTGGTTAATAAATATAACAAAGATATATTCCAAATCATGAAATACTAAGCATACAGCGCTAGCTCCTAATACCAACCCCCATATAAATCAATAAATAAATAAATAATGTGCATCCAACTATAAATAAGTCAAAAAAATGTCAGTGTTCTTTTCATATGTGTATGAACGTGAAAAACCTGCACTTCCAACATCAATAAAGTCCAAAAAAGTTTCAGTGTCCTTTAAGTGTCCGTAAACGTGAAACACTTCCACTTCACACACAAATGATCATGTGAAAAATCCACCATCTGTTTTCCTTGTGCACTCCCGACCCTTTTGGTAATGTGCTCACCCTATGCTGTGAGACTCCTTAACTAAGAAGGTCTTGTATTGCAGAGTGAAACCAACAAATACCTTTTCCATCTCATTCTGCTAAAAATCCCCTGTTCCAAACATCAGAGGCGGTACAGGATGCTCATAGCATAAAAATATCTTTTACTAAAAAAACTTGTTAAAAACAGCATGTGTACTCACAAAAAAAGAGCATGTAACCTGCACTAGGTAACACCGGCTTAATCTCAGTCTGTGCACCGCACCTCCTCATTTGCATGCAGATGCTCATAGTGTGTAACGACGTCACAGTACTCCAACTTGCCTAATGCATTTCATCACCACAGACTTCATCAGAAGTATGAGCATATGAAAAGGACTGAACATTTTTTACCTTATTTATATTTGGAAACACAATATTTATTTATCGATTTATGTTTTTTAGGGTGCGTTCACAGGGCGTTGGTACTAGGAGCTAGCGCTGCATGCTTAGTAAGTAAATATTAGGGCATAAGTAAATCATTTGGCTAGAGGGTTCAAAGTGAAAAATTATTAACATCAAAGTGATTTTTTTTCAAAAAAAGGATTTTGACTAAAATGTTTCATTTTCATTCATATCAAAGTGTCAATTTGGGCACATCAAAGTGAGAATTGTTAACATAGAGTGAAAGCAAATACACAGTAAAATAATTATTTTTAATTATCATTAAGAAGTGATTTTCCTCATCATTTCTTAATAAAAGGACCTCAATCAGTTGCTTAATTTTGATTAATGCCCATCTGTAAAATAAAACAAGAAAAGTTTGTATTTATCAATAACAAGCAAGGCTCCCCTAAATGCGAAATCCCATAAGATGGAGCTGTCTATAATAGAAAAACAGGCAGTACAAAATGAAAAGTTTGCATTTAATATAATTGTGGGGTCAGGCCTAGAGCTGGCCTTTCTAGAAAACTGAAGACAGTTTAAAAATGTTCAAACTTTTATTTTACTTGTCTTGTTAGTTAAGCAATGGATGGGCTGAGGAGGACACCACTGTTGCGCTGTGCTTTATTCATCTGTTGGGTCCACACTGACAGAGGCCTGAAATCTGAATACAAGTTGATCTGAGGTTTGTTCAAGAGTTTATCTGAGATCGAAATCGAGGGCGTATCTGAGGTCTGAAGTAGGGATAAAATGAGGCTAAAAAGAGGACTAATCTGAGGCCTAACTTGGATTTATTTGAGGACTAAATTGGGGCTTATCTGAGGTCAAAATGTGGGCTTATCTGAGGTCTGAAGGGAGGTACCACATACTGCATATCATGTGTGGTGTACTAGCCTAATGTCAGAGGATATGTATAAACTGCTTCTAAGGTTGGCTTTTACATAAGTCAACTGTTCATTAATCAAAACATGTATTTCGTTTCCTAAATCAGAGTTATCTGTAATCCACCGCATCAAGGATCCAAGCAGTTCCTCACAGTACTTCCTGAATCCTATGCTGAGTAACTCCTCTCAATCTGATACCATGAATAGCATCACCAATCACGTGTAACGGCAGGTTGGAATCTAACTGATCTCTGTGACAAACTTCTTTATACAGACATTATTTTACATGGAAGATGTGGAATACAGCAAGGAGCCTGCAGTTTGGTAATACTTTACCTACATCACAAGCAGAGGTTTGCAGATCAGTATATTACTTACAAAATGGACTTGGGTAGACTGGTGTGCTACAACCATGCCTGGATAAAAACCTTCAGTATTGAATAAGTATAAGTAGGCTATGCTCCCTTTATGCATCTCAGGGTCCAGTTTTTGAATTTTAAATGAGAACTTTGAAGTAAAACTACATTCTGGAAGTTGTGTTAAAACAAAAGACAAGCAGAGGGCAATGTACTAGTCACCAGTATTGCCTGTAGGCTCCCTGCAGCAGATGTTTTCCTATTACAGACTTACCATGCCTTGTTCTGTGAAGGCGACCATCTAAGTAGAGCAAGTGCTTTGCTTCCTCATGCCAGTACTTCCAGCAAGGAGAACAGTAAACAGCACATCTCACCTTTAAAATCTCATGATACTATAAATCAGAGGACACCAGTGCACAGCAGATTTAAAGCTACGAGTCACATATTAGGAAGTGCACTGCGAATTCAAGACAAAACGGTACAACATAGACAGAGTTCCCATTTCTAAATATTCCTATAACATAGCAAATCTTCACTTTTTAAGTTCATGTCCACTTTAAAGTCTCACTGACTAGCCTTTTTATCTGTTATGGGTTTTAATTATAGTAGACCTGTAAGTTTAAGAAAGATATGTAGAAGTCTGGAATGAATAAAGGTAATGCAATGGCTAAAATACATATCTTCCTCATAAGCCAATTATGTAAGCATTTGGTCATTGTGAAGGGCAAGCATCTGGTTGATTCTACCCAATTAGCAGAGTGATAAAAGGATGTCATGTGATAAAAGGACAGAGCTTTTGGGTATGTGATAAGCACTAGAGGGGATAAAGAACAACATTTTCTTCAGGAAATAATACGATTCATGCTCCTTTATCACTCTTTATCCATCCTAGCAATCCCACTGTTATAATAGCTTTAAATTACCTTTTCATTGGTTTCATTCTGAAGACACAGCAAAAATCAACCAAAGTGTTGCATAGACTGTGAGTTCAAGTTATTTCTAGTGAATTAAAAGGTTTAAAGTGCTGCAGTTTCTGGGGGTTAAATTATATCTGCTGACACAGCTCATAGGGCCAAGGTTAAATTACATTAACCTCCCTGGCGGTCTGATTATTCAGGATTTTAGCATCCCAAAGCGGTACATTGTTTTTCATGGAAATTTGTTTTATATTGTAGGCCTGTAATTCTTAGTAAATCATAGGAATAACTCACCTAAATGTCCAAACAAGAGTCCAGTAGACATCCCGGGTATGATAAAGTTTGAAATGACACGACCCGGAACCTAATTACATTATATTCTGTGTATTCTGTGTAAATGTAATTTTTCACTTTTGAATTTCCCACCGGCTCCGCCCCCCACTGTGACGCCGTCGGCCGCGTACAGCAGAGGACGCCGCGGGCTCGCAGGGACAAAGCAATAAAGTTTAGTGGAAAAAACTATTGCAAAAAAAAATGAAAGTCCTCCCCCAAAATGTAAAGTTACACATAAAAAAGAATAATAAAAAAAACTTTTTTTTAAAGTCCCCACCCATACATACATGTGCAAACATGCGTCGGGGGCGCATACGTTCAAAAACGACGATTGCGCCCATTACGCAGCACATGTTACATATCGCCGCAAACGTCACAGTGAGAGCAATCATTCTAGGGCCATCAATCACTGATAACACTAAACTGATGAGCTGTAAAAGCTTTTAAAGCGTCGCCTATGGCCAATTTTGGGTATGGTAGTTTTCTGCGATTTCGCGGCTAGCACGCAATTTTAAAGCTTGACATGTTTGGTGTCTATTTACCTGACGTGACCCCGTCTTTTATATTTTACCAAAAAATTGGGTAATATTAAATGTTTCCTAACATAATGTAAAAAAAAAAAAAATCCAATTTTTTTTTAATTTTTCCTAATTATAGTAAAAAATAAAAACCTCAGTGGTGATTAAATACCACCAAAAGAAAGCTCTATCTGTCCCCCCAAAAATGGTACAAAATTCATTTCAGTACAGCGTTGCATGACGGAATAAACATCAGTCAAAGTACCTCAGCGCAGAATACTGAAAAATGG